CCCTGTTTGACCAGTTTTCTCTACTTGATAGGGCAGTGATCTTGCCGGTTGAATTAGAACACAAAGACCCATGTCTACATTTATTCAAAAAGTCCAGAACTATTCTCCATATCAATGGTTACCCTAAAACATCCCAGAGAATTTTAAGATAGGGGAACTAGTAAATCGGATAGCGGACTACTTGTTCGGCCAATTGCAATATGGAAGCTCTGTTAAGTCCAGTTGTGATTTTGGCACCTCAAGCCTCTGTTCTCGGGTTATTACTGCTTTTAATCTACGCAAGTGGCTACATGAATAAACTGGAATGCTGAGGAGTCATATTTATAGGCGACGTCAGAACATGACAATCGACGAAGTGCAGTCATGACGAATTGACCATGCATGAATGGCGGAACCGCCTATGTCAGCGATCTGATAAATGGTCGCCGAAGTTTAATAGCAAGAATTGGGTCGCACTGCCATTTAAAATATTAAGGGCGGACGCAAAGAACGATTCTCGCACTCAATTCCCTGACGGTAGATACTTGTCGAAAAAAGATTTTCGAATTACAATTTTTCATATGTGAAGCCTTCCACTTAATGCGTTAGGGTGGTCGAGTGTGCGATCAGTGTTTGTTTCGCCATCGAAGGGACTGTCATTGATAAAGATAAGGGGCGGTTTAAAAGAATATGCGGGGCTTTGATGCATCCTCGTTTGGTATATGGGATTCATGCATGACTTCCCTGGTTGAATGGACTCACAGGAGGCTGGAAAATGTCATAGGGGGTCTTAAGTCCTTATTATATTAGTTTATTAGTTTATTTGGTAAGGATAATAGGCAAAGCCTTTGAAAACACTATTGATTACATGTCAGCTCGTTAGAATAACTGTACACGAACAAAAAATGTTCACTATTAAAACAGTACTTGGTTCATTTGAGTAGCATTGTCTCAGAGAAAACATTGGTCTGGACCAGGGGTATTAATTCAGATTCAGACTGTCGAGGGAAAACAGGAGACACGCATAATCATCCAAGCGTTTCTTGAAGAGTTGCGGGGATGTAGACTTGATGCATTTACTTATTTTCTGTGGATACACGGAAATTTAAGATCCTACACAGACCTATCGGATCGTGAGGAGTCGGGATTGTGCCGAAATTTTGATTATTTCTGATCGCGATCCCTTATCTGCGTGGTGACTGCCTCAAAATTCGAGGGACGTTATCCCGTCTGAATGTTCTTTGCTGCTCGCTCTCGCAGCGAGTTGTCGGTGCGCGGAACGAACTTTTCGGAAAAGTAATAATGGTGGACACAATGGAATCATGTTCACTCGTATTGGCTGTACATTTAATTGTAAATTACCTGTCAAGCCGACGGGAAATCTCCGTCCTCGCCAAAGAGTGCACCGACTTCGATTAGACTATCAATACGGACAAGAGAGGGGTCATGCACCACTCGTCACCCCAGCACGCAACACTTCACTCCTTCTCGAGTCCCTGTCATCGGCCAACAAATCAAAACCGTGGACGATTTTGTTTATCTTAGAAGCAGCCTTTCCAACAACGCCCAAAATCCACGATGAGGTTGCCTACCGGATCTCTATGCTCAGCCAATCCTTTGACCAGCTACAGAACTGCATATGGAATCTCCACGGCTTTCAAGTAAACAATAAATCGATGATGTACAAGGCTGTCATCCCACCGAAACGTCTCTACGGAGCAGATTAAATGGTCTTCTTCAGTCACACTAATAAGGTCGACCAATTCCATTTCATGTGCTTTAGCATAATACTAGGGCTATGATCGCATGGCAGGATCCCCGACATGGAAGTTCTACAAAGGACTGGCATCCTCAGCATCCACGCCATTTTGAGGAAACCGTAGCTACTCTGGAGCAGCAGTCTCGTGAGAATGGGAGACACATGACTTCCGAAACAACTCTTAAAATGGTGATGTTGCCACCGGTGTTCCCCGACCGTGAGGACCAAAACGACGCTATAAGGACGAGTTGAGGGATTTGCCTAAGCGATTAAAAGTAAATCCAGAAACCGGGGAGGACAGACCGGCCTGGAGAAGAGAACTGAAAACAAGCACTGCCATCTGCGAATTAAATCGGAACGTCACAAGCGCCAGCACCACGTCTTCGCGCACCCCGTTCCGATGGGACGACGTCCGACGTCTCGTCAACCTCAAAAGCCACCATCATCCCCATCTCCAGCGACGTGAACTCGCTTCCTGCTTGTTCTCATTACAATCGCACATTTACCTCACACATCGTTCTGGTCGGTCACTTGCGAATCTACCGCACGAAGACTGACGAACCAGTGCTTTGAACACCAACCTGCGCCTACTTCATCGATCAAAACTGCCTCCACCGCACCCGCACATTCGCCCACTGCATGCGCCTATTAGGGCATATGCACATTTGCGAAAATCTGTGGTAGTCACCCGCTGGCTATGAACATTTTGGAAACGGGATAGCTGAGTTCTTTAAGCTATTTCTTTTTAGTTGAATGTGGGTGCTGCAAACTCGCCTGCATCCCAAGAAATTCGCGCTTTATGTGCCCGTTTTGTCGAAAAAACGGAATAGCGGGTCCATTTGCAATCCGAAATTTGAAATATCAATAAAATCACACCCGTTTTTCGATTTTACGCGTCGTCTGGAGAAATGTCTTGTTTAAGTCCTTCGTCTTGTCGTGACCTACCGCTTAATGAACTCAGTAAAAGACGCGAGGGACATTTGTACTTCTTAGTCCGTCATGGACGACTTTACGTCTGCCTTCCTTAATCGTGGGAAAGGAGAATTAAGAGATCTGGAAAACACTGTGTCTTTTACACCATTTGGTGTTACTCCTCCTGCTGCTGTTGGAAATCCCCAGCTCACGACTGCCGATACGGCCTTGGCTTCGGAATGTACCGGCGAACCTGAATCAATACGCATATGGCGTAAAGAGTTTAATGAAAGCATCGAAAAGAGAGACTTCAACGAATCAAAGAAACAGGCCTTGTTACAAGAAACTGCAAAAAAGGCACGTTTTAGTTGATTTTACTAGCTCTACTTACGATCGTTCATGAGCAGCGCGAACAAATCACTAGCCTGGTGTTGGCGCTGGGCGGTTGTTAAACTGTTTGGTCTGTGACTGGCCGGAGAACCTGCTCATGAACTGACTGAAAAATATTCCTGCATAATTTAAAGAAATGCAGCGCTACAAAATACTAAGTAGCTTCTTATCCCTTATAGCATATGTCCGTGTCGACAGAATATTGCTTGGATATCGACATGTCGAGATATGTATATCGCTCGGATACCTGCCTTGGCCACTTTTTTGATATTAATTTGATATCGACGTGTCGATGTAGGGGGTCCCACATATATGTGAGTCGATGGCGCCATTACACACACTAAGACGAGCATGCCCCCATTGCCTTACTAAAAATATTATACTTTTTTCATGCAGAAGAACGTCCTGGTCATTTGTCAATCTAATATATGTGCATATATATGCAGGGATGACTACCGACAAAAAAGGCGAGATTGAAATGACCATTTTTGGCTTTTTAACTTTCGTTAGCCAGGCTTACCATAACCCAAATTTAGGGACAACTAACTCTCGAACTTACAAATTTTAATTACTTTGAGGGAACAAGAACTGAACATTAATTTCCTAAATAGGCTTAAATAAGTCAACTTTGACACAAAATGCCGAAATCAGTGCTGTCATACCTCTCATTGCTTTTTCCTGAGTTACAAACGGTCACTACAACTTTATTCAGCCGGCGGTCCAGTACATAGACACTTTAGTTAGGTCAAACGACGCAAGTACACTAGCAGCATGGTGTGCATGTGAGGTCTTGGTGCGTATAATTGAGCTATGATTTCAGAGAAAATTTATCGTGTATGTTTGAAGCTGCCCAAACCAGCAGCACACAGTGGGGCATGATATAGGCAGAATGGCATTACCGTTCCAGTCTCCCTTGTATTTGTCGGTAATGCCGTTCTGCCTATATCATCCGCCGCTGTGCGGCTGCTGGTCGGACTCGAGAGAAAGCCCGTAAGGCAGTTATACCAACAGGACAACGAACTCCTGGCCCAGTTGTTTGCGGCGTGGACTTCTAACAGGTTGCTAGTTCGAGCCTCGGGTGTTCCACACTTCGGACTTGGGTATGGCTGGCTGACGATGGCTAATAAGCCGTAAATAGTCATTCCAGTTTCCCTCGTCTTTGTCGGTAATGTCATTCTGCCTAAGACTTTGATGTTAGCACATATGGCCAAATGGGTCCCCGAATTGGCCGCATGCCGTGGTCAGTGTAGACAGGTGAGGGGTAGTGCGACAAGTGTATTAGGGTTTCTGGCACTGACTCTCGTCTCATTGTGGTAGATTTGCATATGACCGATCAAGCTACTACCTGATGCGAAGGCGCAGTCGAGGCGGAGACAGTTTTGGGTTAAACCCACATTGCTGGCGGAGTGAGTAATGTTAAGTTCTTGCAGAATGATAGGAACGTCGTAATTTGCAAAGCTAGTGAAGCCGGCAGTGATGATGTGTTGTGGGATGAAAGGCAGCTTGGCCGTGATTTCATTGCACTGGGTCTGGGGATGTCCAATGGGGACCAATTGCTGCCCGAACTGTCCGCTGACAATGTTGGCATCATGGCAGGGGCTGGGTGTTTGCGTGACTGGCCCGTATCACTTACGTCTTGCGGATCGCTCTTTTTTTCTTGGCAGCAACTATTCGTCTTGCTTTGAAGATGTCTACTTCGGTCCGTAGATGTTGCGCTGCGCCGCCACTTCTAAGCAAGATCCTCCCGGATTTTACGGTTGATATGTGGGGGCTTTGGGGAGTTCTCTGGGTCACGCAGCGACACTTTGATCCGTCTTTCCTGCGGGCATTCCTAATGACTTCCCCACAAAATATTCACTTAGTTACGTTTTTATCGTCCATCCTCACAATTTCGTCGGCCCATTGCAGGCGTGTCTGCCTCAGCACGGCGTGGATACTGGGGACGCCGATTCCTTCCAGGATGTCAGTTTCTGGAATATTTTCCCTCAACATCCTTTCAGCATTCCTCAGTGTCAGGTAGGTGAAAAGGGTTCAGTCTTCTTGCTTAGCTCATATAGACAATTCAAGCCTTCGCCCCTGTATGGTAGCGCAGGTAGGACGGCACCCCTGCGTATCCTGGGTCTTTTGTTGGTTCGAATGTCGTCGCGGTCCCAGACGGAGTGCTTTAGCTGACCGAAAGCCCGACCGGCTGGCAATTTTTTGTCGATTTTGAAATTGTACTCAAAAGGTAGGCAGATTTCCTCACTGATGTGAGGCGAGTTCCGGTGAAAGTGATACGGGGCTCATTGTAGTCAGCATTTGGCGTCAGTTGGTGCACTTATAGCTTATGTGTTTATCCTTATGTATTTGTCGACATTATACTTATTTTTTAATTTTTACCATCAATTTTATCTTTTGCCAAAGAACATGATCGACTGAGGCGAAAGAGGTTGTGCCACCTATTTTTAGCATGTTTTTTGTCATCTTCCGACCGTACTCCTTACAAGCCAAACAGACCCGATGTTGGAACATAGGCCCAGTTAATTGGTACTTTTTCCATGATTTACTGACTATTCCCCTAACTTTATAATTGTACGGTTTAATAGAGCCTACTGCTTCTGCGTCTCTTCATGTTCAAGTGCGTGAACCAAAAAATTGAGTCCCTACGTTTGGAATTTTTATTGGCTTAAATCCTATTGTTGGGGCTTTGAAAGCAGTATTTTGTTATTCACTTCGGGCGTGATGAGAATCAGGATTTACTTTATCAACATCGTCCCGAGTTATTTACTAATGCGCAGTTCCGCGGACTGTCTTAATGTGTGTTTTATTTGCCATTCTCTGGCTGCAACATTACTTAACCTGCGCAACTTTCGCGTCTCAAAATTGTTCTGATTTGAGCGAGATGACTGTTGTAATTAGACGGCCGACTAAATCACGGTCGTCCTGTTGGCATTGCCGTGTTCCGGACTTTGGAGTTACTGCCGCCTAGATGTTATACGAACACTCATACTCCTTTTTTCTACATTAATTACTGTAGGAATAATTCTGAAGACGAAGATGCGATCACTAGAATAATGCTGCATGTGCCGCCGTTCCCAGTCATGTCTAACAGCTGGCATTCTCGACTTCTTTTGGCCTGACCGACGTCTGAGGACATGTACCTTTGTATATTTTACGCCACTAGCGAGGAAGCCGATGTGAACAAAGTGTCCAGCCCAATCCAAAAAAGGATAACTGCAAAATTGCTGGCGACCCACTTGTTTGTTTGGCCGCTAGACAATTGTTATACCGTAAGGATAAGTACTGACAAAGACAAGATAGGATGGGGTGGCCATTTCTGGCCTTTTGGCCTTCGTCAGCCATACATGCCCATCTGGCCTGCGGACCTGGAATTCTAATCCGGATTCTTTATTCACTGAGCTTTTTAAAGTCTAGTGTTCAACCATTGAGCCACAGACCCGTTGTCCTGTCGATTGCGATTGTGAATATTATTTACGATGGAAGTGCGTTCGCTGATCGGAATTACGGGACATGCTCTTCCTGCTACGCTTCTGCGCTTAGTCCAGAGTCTGAGCAGTCGCGTGGCGACTAGAAGTGCATATGAATAAGCTAGTGTTAACAAAGACAAGTGAGACAGGGACGGCCATTTCTGGCTTACTAATCGTCATAAGCCAGAAACGGTCACCCCAGTCTCCCTTGTCTTTGTTGGTACCATCTTATCTAAGTATACAGCTAGTGCCTTTGCGACTGTCACTAAGGTCTCTAAATTGAGCTCCAAGACGCTACGTACCGAGCATGTGCTGAAACGTGATCGGTGAACGGACTTCCGCCCTAAATGCTATACCGTTTTATTCCGATACTCAGGCACTTAACGCCTTTTATGCGAATATCTCCTAAAATTAATCGCTTATTTTTTTAATGAGCGAAAATATGATTTCTTATAGGAAATACAAGATTGGGAAGCCTGGCATCAGAAAAACACCCTCAAATCCCGGCAGCAAAACCGAATGCACGAGGAGGAATTGCATGCTGCTCGTGACAAAGTTACCCTACTCTCGGCTAGTCTTGCAAAAGTAGACCCGAGCGATGTGGCCATCTGGGAACGCATTTGTCAGCTCTGTGACCTCGCGGGTAATTCAGGCGACTGGTCGGCTAGTGGGAGTGGAAGCATATCACTAAACAGGACCTCAACCACTCAGTACTCACAGAACCCGCCAAAGGATATCACACGTTTTAGGTCCCTCCTGCTGTCACTGAGGAAGGATCCACCCAAGTTGCTGCGTCAGTAGGATGTTTTCCTACTCTTTTCCTGTTATCTTCCCCCCCCCCCTACATCAGCATCTGTATAATTTCGTTTGTGTGGTTTCTGCAATCAGGTTCGTCTTCATTCCAACACCTATTTCCTTCCTCTGTGATGTTTTTCGGTTTCTTTTCGTAGTACTACTGTCAAAATATATCCTACCAAAGTACACTAAAAACCAGGCTAATCGGTCGTTGTTTTGATTTGTTTGGATAGGCTAACTATTTGGCAACTAAAAGATAAATGCATGCTTCTAACGCGTGGATAGAACGCTTCTATGCACAGTCCAGCTGACTCCCACTCTACGTTTCCGTCTACCTAAGGATCAAAGGGAGCCGCCCGTTATTGCCTTTTGTGTCACCCGATTATACAAGAACAAAGTAAGAGGGGGCCTTTGAAAGTAAGGAATGTGCTAGTTTTCGATGCGTGATGTCGTACTTGAATCAAGACAGTTCCCTGTTGTTCATTCAGTATTACAACGTCTTTCGCTTTAAATTACAGGCCTCAAAGGCTCTCGAGAACTTTGCCATTTCATCCGTCTAGTCATTGTTAGACTCCGTCTCCAATACTAGTATTTTTAGTTTTGTTTGATGGAGAATTCAGGTTGGCCAACTAAGTGCTCTTCAGAATCTAACCTCGGACATGAATCAGGGCCTGCGAGACTGACATGCTAAGTCACTTTCGCCGGGGAGTTGGCAACTAGCCAACTGTGATAAAGTGAACTTACACAATGAGAACAGCTGATTCCACCATCACAAATGCTTGCATAGATAAGCGTACGAGGTACTTAGTCAGGGTGCCAGGTGTTCTGAATAGAAGGCGCGCGGACGGCGTTTAGTGGCACTGTTTGTGGTTAGTTTTTTTTCTCCGGCCAGTTTAATTCACGGATCGGGAAGGTTGCCATTTAAACTCTGCAGTTGAATTTTGTACTTGCGTTGTGAGTAGGACAACAGCAGAGAGCAATAAAGTTAATTTTCGCCTATGAAAAGGTGACAGTGGTGCTCGAGGCGAGATCCAGCCAGTTATGAACACAGCAATGGTGCACCTATTTTTGTTACATATCTGAGAATCTACCTCGATGGTAAGGTGCACATGTCTGAGCTACTCGCGACCGAGCTGCTACTAAGCTTTCACATTTGTGCGTTCTGTGGGGTGATCAGTCTAAAGCCACAAAAAACCCACTGAAATAAGATGCATTGACGAGAAGTCTTATTTATTCCGCCGAACTTCGGACGTATTTCTTTACAAGTAATAATGGTACTGGCAAATTGTGCCCCCGTTGTCTCCTTACCTGGAAATAGATGCCGTTTCTAAAATTTCAGGCTCCACATTTGGCCTGCCTATAACCAGCAATGCCTGCTGGCATCGTACCGTAATTTCCAGTTGGTCGCAGGATGTTTCACTGATAGACTGCAACAAATTGAGCCGTCTTAATGATGCCACAACAGCCGAAGTGCCCTCCCTTCGCTGCCGGGGAAATGAAATCACCCCTCTTGAATGCTCGAACGCTGTCGACTACCTCGTACTGATCAGCTGGTGTCTGTAGAATACGTGCTTGTCCTATAAAGAATGAAATGCCTTCACGCTGAAATATGCATGCGGACAATTAACAAGAAGACAACCATCGCCTCAGGATCTTGTTAGCTGTTCCCAGCCGTTTCTTGGAAGACGTATTATTGAAAACCCCTTCTGCTCATCAATTGATTCGCTGCCTACAACGGTCGAGCTGTCTAGGGAAGGAGGGCGATTGGAGTTTGCCATCTACAGGAAGTGTGGAACAGAAGATTCCAAATGGTCAAATGGATGCCATTTGAGCCGGTCTGATGGCCGAGGATTTCTCGGGACATTGGAGATGCGTCAGGACACATTATTGCTGGAGATGGCTACCTCTAGTCCTCGCCTTTGTGCTTGGCCGCCATGAGATTTTCAGTGCACGAGACTGTAAAGGTAAATCAATTTAGAACTCAGACACAAAGGCAGAAGGTTTGTGAGGCGTTGTAGAGACCAAAAGGCATGCACACGATTCCAGAGAGGCCAGTGGGACGTAAAATGTCATCAGAAGTCCTGTGAGGCAATAGTTGACTTGTAAATAGATCTCCAGTAAATCTGCAGCAAACGTGCATGATGGGCAACGTAAATAGAGAGCCCCAGAGATGGAGGACCTGGCGATGATCAGGCATAATGCAGTTCTCCAAGGCCCGGTAGTCACTACAGGCGTCAGGGTTTACCCGGGAAAGCGCACGCAAGGGAGGCGTTCAAGAGCTTTCCATTTGACACACTATCCCGGTTTTTAGCCTGCTCTTGAACTCCGACTTGGTAACTTGGTGGGTTCGAAAAACACTGGCGAATCGGTGGTATGGATATGATACAGTGCGTCATGCGGTAGTGTCGGTGGACAAACAGGGATCGTTATCAAATAGCCGTCAGGCCAACACGTTGGATATGGTTCCAGAGTGCCGAGTTGGTAGGACGCATGGAAAGAAATGATGCACATAGCAAAATGACGTAATGGTCTTGTCGGCAAGGCGGGGTTACTGAAAGTTGGCCAAGAGGGGGAAATAGGCCAATAGATCGGTGGTAAGTTCGGCCCAGAAAACGCTGAAGTCAACCAAGGCAAAGTAAATAGAAACCGGAGTTCGTCGTCAAAAGCGGAAGAGGGCACATGACAGCGAGGGAGATGGAATTAAGGGAACACTGGAATGAGCCAAGGTAGCCGCAATGACTACAAGTCGCCTTATGAGGAGCAACACATAGCTGAGCGCCAGTTACAACGAAGACTCATTTCACGCTTTTGTTGGAAGAAAGTAATGCTGTCGGGTATCTTGCACTCATTGTAGTCCACATTTTTCTGCTTGACTTTCGCCGCGCAGCCAGCAGATAACGCGAAAAACAGCCAGCAGTCCATTTAGTGGGAGGTGGCGGCCTACACAGGGCACGCTCGTGTAATGCAAACTAATTACTTATGCGCAATCTTTGAGTGCGTATACCGAAGGCGGACGTCTTTCGGCCCGCTGGAGCTACAAACGATCTAAGTGCAACAGCCATCAAGCAGCACGACCTCCTCCTTCTTATGGTCAGACCGTCTTAATATTTATGCAAATTCCCTCACAAGTTGAGTAGAGTTATTCGACCTTTGAAGTAAATATTGAAGGCGTCCAGGCATTTTGTAGTTAAATAGGCCAGCATTAGTGCTGGTTTAGTCAACTTCGGTGTCCGCAAGCGTCACGCGGCAGTGTGACCCATGCCCTGTGATTGTTTACAGCTGTCATCCTAGTCCCGAACAGTGAAGACAGCTGGCGTCTACATGTCCAGCATAACCAATTCGGGGAAGTTTGAAGCATCTCGTGCTCGCTGTGGGTGCGAAGCAAATACAAATAGGAGGATAATTGTCATCACAACTTACGGACTTCTTATCGGCAGCCTTCTATCACTCCGTAATATGAATAACGACCAATTCATATACAGCGATCGCTACACATCTCAGTCACTATTGACAACTTCGTCTGAAATTGGGCGTTTGATTGACATCTTATTATGCAAGAGGGGCGCTCACCGATCGCGTTACGAGACATACTCGGTCATTTGTGCCTTGGAATTCTATCTCGAAATGCGCCGGCATCTGCAGAACGGCTAGTAATATGGGCAGAATGACATTATGGACAAAGACAGGGAAGACTCAACTGACTCTTTCCGGCTTGCTAGTAATCACCAGCCACCCACGCCCAACTCCATGTTTCTAAACCCTAGTACTTGGTTAGGGAGTTGGACCTCCAACCAACAGGTAGCGGGTTTGAGCCTTAGAGATTAAAAGACCTGCGGTTGGGCACAACCGACTAATGACGGCTAATAAGCCAGAAGTAACCACACTAGTTACGTCTTTGTCGGCAATTCTATTCTATCCATGTTGCTAGCGTTGTGCGGCAGCTGGCAGCGCCTGAAATCGAACCCTTGGCGGAACTGGACAAGTGTGTCCTTAACGCGATCGGTTTGCGCCCCACTACCAGTGTTGATATACCCAACAGGCCCCGTCAGTCCTCTCCGGACCCAACCTACCAACCGCTCGACGAACGCTATTGCTGCCTCTACGACCGCGCCTGCTCCAACTTACATGTCGACCACATCGGCGCCTACCCTCAGCAATGCTGCATCGTATCCCCGTGTCGCAATTCCGTCGGCCAATACCACCGTCACTATCCTCGCCTCCGATACCACAACGCGTTTGTGTATATTGGCGGACTGGTGGACTGAGATCCGGTCTGTAACGGCTCCGTTTTAACTGGCCTATGACACTCTCACACATGCGAGGAGTGTGTGTGTGTGCTTTATGGAGGGTGCCTCTCAATCGATGACTGGTTGGTTACCCAGCCTTTGAAGGGTGATAGCACAGGCATATGCAGGGCTGCGAGTCACCCTTCTCGGCCTCAAGAATTGTAAGCGTCTGCTATGTCAGGATAAGCAAACCATGGCCCTCGCAGCCTGGTATGCGCTGGCAGTTTTCTGGCACCAGGTTCACTGTCCCCGTTGGGTATACAGGCCGTGGGCATGGCCGTCCAGTCATCCTCTTTCTACTGGCCCACTGTGGTGTTGCTGGTCAAGTGTTTGTTGTGGATCATTGATGCGGTGATACGCCTAGGTGCGGGTCCGGCCGCGCCAACGACCTGCTTCCTCTCTTATCTCCGGCCATCTTGATTATGCCTTGACGCCTGGCCCAGGTGGGGAATCGACAAGTCTGTGATAACCCCAGAGGCATCTCTTTACTAAATACCGCTGGGAAGATCTTCACCCGCATCCTGCTCTATCATCTCAGCGGTCATTTAGAACAAGGACTTTTGCCGGAAAACCACTGTGGCTTCCGACCACGCTGGGGCATGCCAGACACGGTGTTTGCCGCTACTGGGGAAGTGTCAGGAGATGCAAACCCACCTCTACAATATCTTTGTGGACTTGACGAAAGCCTTTGAATCATGAGGGAATGTGAAAAATCCTGCAGAAACTTGAATGTACTGAACGCTTCACGTTTAAGGTGCGTTAGCTCCATGACGGGGCGATAGCGTGCGTCACGGACAGCGACGCAATCTCCGCGGCATTCACTCTGGCCAATGGAGTGAAGCAGGGCTGCGTGCTCGCTCCACCTTCTTCAGTCCTATGTTCTCCGCTATGCTTTTGGACACCTACCGTTATGAACGGCCCTGGATACGCATCACCTGCAGAATTAACGGGTATCTTCACGACAGCAGGCGGGTGTAGACTCGAACGCGGCTATCTACGACCAAGGTCCACTATCTGCTCTTCGCTGACGACTGTGCACTCAACGCTGCGATCGAAAAAAACATGCAACGGAGAGTGGATCTCTCCGCCTTCGGCTGCGCTCAATTCAGACTGATTATCAGTGCGGACAAAACGGCGCTTATGCATCAGTTACCACTCGACACGGAATAGGATTCTCCTCGAATCACTACCAATGCAACCAAATCAAAATAGTGGACAACTTCGTCTATATAAGAAGCACATGAACGTGTAGAACAAACTTCAAAGATGAGGTTGCTCATCGGCTTTCAAAAGCCAGCCAGGGCTTTGGCCGGTTGCAAGCCTCCGTGTGGAGTCTCCACAGCATTAAGCTGAACATCAAACTGATGATGCACGAGGCCGTTGTCTTCACGATACTTTTGCACGGATCGGAGATCTGCTCCATCTATTCCCGACATTTCGGGAAGCTCAATCACTTCGATCTTAGATGCCTCCGCAGGATGCTAAAGCTAAGATGGCATGTCAGGAGCCCGGAAACGTACGTCCAGGAACTGACCGGAATCCTCAGCAGTCGAGACCATCGAACTACGACGAAACGGAGAATCGCCTCGGACACGCCCAAATCATCCAGCTCTTGAAGTTCTGTCTCAAGAGGTACTTTACGTTCGATGGAACAATCTACGAGCAGGTGAAGGGAATGCAAATGAGTTCGCCGATTTCGGGACTCATAGCCGAGGCGGTCCTTCAACGGCTGGAGTCGCTAGTTTTCCGACACCACAGACCGAAATTCTGGGCTCGGTATGTGGATGACACCTTCGTCGTCATTAAACGGGATCAGGCGCTGATATTCATTGAACATTTCAACACAATCTTCCTGGACATTCAATTCATGATGGAGGAGGAAGAAAACAATCAAGTGGCCTTCCTGGATGTCCTCGTCTGCCACAAAGATTGTGGTGGCCTAAAAACCAAAGTGTTCAGGAGAACGACAAATACGACGCAAATACTGAACTTCAATAGCAACCACCCGACCAGTCACAAACTCAGTTGCGTAAGGGCGCTATATCGGAGCGTTAAGACGCACCGCAGTGAAATGGAAGACCAGGCTGCTGAATTACAATATCTCCGACGGGTAATAAAAGCCAATGGTTACCCGCGCAACTTTGTCAACCAGTGCACACGAAAAGGACACCAAAAACAAATCCAGCCGACCCCAAATTTTGGCGGGCTCTTCCGTACGTGGAGTGCGTCTTGGAAGCCGTCAGTCGTCTTATCACTTCACTTGAACTTGGGGTTGCATACAGGCCGGAAGCAACTATTAGGCCCCAAGTCATGAGGCCAAAAGACCAGCTGCTACGGCAGGAAACGTCTGGAGTCGTTTATCGGATCTGGTGCAGTTGCGGACAAAGCAACTACGTCGGAGAAACTGAGAGATTACTCCGTACGCGAATTGCCGAGCACGCAGCATCAGTGAGGTGGGGAGACGCTAACTCTCAGATGGCGGCACACTCGACGGGATCCGGCCATATTTTCAAAATTCAAGAGGCCGAAATCCTCGCAAGCGGTGACAACGGCGTGAGCCGCAAGCTGCTGGAGTCATGGTTCTCAGGCCCGTAATCAATCAACAAGCACAATGACCTCCCGATGCCCTATTCCGTATTGCGATTTTCCCTGGGCAGGAGAATCAGTCACGTGGGGAGGGCGCGGGCAAGCAATTATCACGGTGACAGTGGGCCAGTTTGCCGAGCAATCGTCACACCAGTATCCAGCACGGATGACGAAATTACGGCCATTAACGACTCGGACTCGGACCGACAAGCCACCACCGCATCAATTACGACCCCAGCGGTGATTGCGAGAACTGTTATTTGCAGTGCGCATACGGTCCACGGCAGCCACGTGCCATAAATACTGCACTCCTGGTGCCATCATCACCTTTATCTGCGAATGTCTCTGATGATGGATTCGAGTGAGAATCTGAAACGTCAGGCCAATAAATTTCTTGTTCCAGCGATCGCATCTTCATCTTCGGATCTGATACCTGGTATTCGCCTGTTCGCTTCTATCAACACTACTCTTCTCACGAGTGCTCGTGACCGGAAGGACCACATCGGCGCCACAAGGACACTATGAATAATTCTTTTAAGTGAATGTATATTAGCCCAGAGACCTGGGACGATCTCCCCAGAACAGGCCTTTGTGGAGAAGATAAGACTGGCGCAGCCATCTATGAAGCAGAACGGATCGCCAACACCAAAGCCAAAATGGTTGTTCGCATGTTTCGGGCGTCTCCGATTCACAATATCGCCACTCAACCAATCCAAAATGCAAACTTCAAACCCAATGCACCAACCGCAGGAAGACCGCAAATGCAGCTTCCACGAATGCCCCTGTTCCAACATCTAAGTCGACCACTTCGGCGTCCGACCTTACCAACGTTGTTTCCAATTTCCGTGCTGAATAGCTGTCGACCACTACCAACAGTTCGCCGTCGTTGCAAACGGTGTCCCCCGTGTGCTCCACAGCAAGGTGAGAGCATGAACAGTGACTTGTGCGTGATTCAGTTTATAGTGAACGTAGCCTTGCACAGCATCTACCGCAAGCCTTCCTCCCCCACCCAGGCCCTGTGTCCAAACAGAGTTAAGAACACTGGAGGTGGGAGAGGGAGCAGGTGGCTGGTGCGGTCGAAGCGCTCCTCGGCTTGCCGCCACACCCGGCTCAGATCCCACCGAGGGGGAGTGCCATAAAAGGCCACATTAAGAAGGAGCCATTGCAACCTGACTCTTAGACCGCCAGTCGGCCACTCCACGCAAGCACACAACACTGGGCCGACTGCGAAGTCCAAGTTATCCCAGTCAGTTGACACACAGGGCTTTTAGCGCACCGTGATAGCCTCAAGTGCGTCAGATTGTTTATAGTAATATGTCTCGAGCCGTCGATCTCGCCTCCCTTCGCAATTCAAGGCCCCAGTCAATGTCCGAACAGGTGCGGGGATGGGCGTGGTGGCTGACATATCTAGTGATCTTTTCTGCGCGCACCACATGCATGGCCTGGCCTTCCAAACACAAGCACCAGGACTTCACACGGCGGGGGTTGGACAGCATACATCTGACATGCGCGATAGTGCCGTAGGTCACGTTAAAAAGGAGCCCTTTCAGCCCACCAGTCCGCCACTCCACACATACACTCACGCAACTGGACAGACTGCATGACCTGGGTTGGAGCGTCGGTCAGCCGCTGCAAGGCTTCATGCAGTGCTCTAGATTGAGCCCAAAATCAAAACGTAGACGAGCGTGTCCTGCAAGGCTATCATTTGGTGCCCCTCTACCATCAAGCAACACAGTTGGCGCGTCGACACAACTTTTTGGGAAAGTGGAAGGGACACTCCGCCTGCCAAAGGACTTCATGGTATCCTTTGATGTCGCATCCCTTTTTACCTCTGTTTCCCATACTTTGGAGTTGGGATTGCACACAGACCACCAGGCGCCAAATCATGAGGCCAGAAGACCCACTGTCACGACAGGGTACGTCTGGCGTCGCTTGCCAGATCTGATGCAATTGCAGTCAAGGCAACTATGTCGAAAAAACTGGACGGCCACTCCAGACGCAGATGACCAGTTGCACAGCAGCAGTAAGGGGGAACGGTGCCAGTTCCTAAGTCGCGGTTCATTGGACGAGACCCAGCCACACACAGCCAGCAATGAGTGCAAAATACTCCCGATAATTGGGAACCGCGCAAGCTGCTTCAGTTACGGTTTTCCCGTCTTCAGTCAACTAACAAGCTCAACGACCTCCGTTCTCCATATTCTTTGTTGGTACTGCGTAGGCAAAATGGTTACCCAGACGGTGAGCGCGTACTTGCAACAAAGACAATGGTCAAAGGCACAAGCATATGACTGGCCAGTCTTGTGAGTCTGGATGAAGCTACCGCAAGTTTCGGTCGGGGAATGTGTCATCCGGCGTACTCCACATGGAAACGGTGTGCTAGCATCTCGTTGCGCTCATAAGCTAGCCTGAGACGATAGTCCAAACTTGTGAGCACTCGAAAACATCGTCCAGGTATATCCTGTTCTAGTCGCAGTCCCCCATCCAGAGGACCCAACACCCTTCCACCTCCAGGGCTTTTAAAGAGGGGTCATAGTGCTAAAAAGAATAAATCATTTGTCTTCGCGTACATTATTTCTCGCCTACCCATTCCCACAGAGAAGACAGGAAGCAAACCACTGCATCTTGCCCTCCCTCCCCCCCTGAGAGCCGGAACAATGAACTGGACAAGAGACCAGACTGATGAATATGCCTCACAGAAGCAACAAGTAAGTGTATATATGTGTGCGTGCGTAGAAGAATAGAAAAGAACGCCAAAAAAACAAAAGTACGAGACAGGGAAAATCACACTATTGGCGACGGAGGTGGTGCGTTGCTGCCGGGTGATGAAGGCACACAACAACAACGTTAAAGTGCACAAAAGGCAACAACAACGACAAGAAAAAACATGTAACTAAGGTAGTACTGTTGCGAGTCAACACGCATGATTAAGTAAATACGCATATAGATACGTGTGTGTGTGTGTGGGAGATTCCGGGCGGTATGAGGAAAGCCAGAGGATAGAGGCTGCTAAGCCTACTAAGCTGCAGGGGAGTGTTGAGAGGGAATTAGAGATCTTGATGACTGGATGAGGATGCATGGAAAAGGGAATGTTAGGTTCTTTTCAGATCGGCAGTCTGAATGCCAGCGAGGATGCGCTGCCAGAGGGCAGAGCTGCATTTGTGGTGACGGTGAATACGGGTCAGAAGATTGTCCCAATGCAATTCCCGGTCCGTAGCCGGCATCGCCAGGTGGAGGTTGTAAGCGTTCAGCAGGATGTCCACAAATTCATCCCACTCTGCCTGGCCCTGGCCGATGAAGCGCAGCCGCTGATTGATAAACTTGTGGAATCTAGGAGCATCGCAAGAAAGAAAAGGGGGTAGAGCCAAAAGACGGGAAGTCACTACTGGCCAGCCAGGCAGTCTGGCGGCCATTGAGAAACCCTGCGATAACCGATGGATCAGATAGGAGTACGTCCGACAGTGACTAAGTCGGATAAACTAGATTCCTTTTATGGAAGAAGTTTCCGTGAAGGGTAGAGAGTATAAGGGCCATCTGGAGAACCAACCCCCTAGCATAAATCCGGTGTCAGTAAAAAGATACTACTGTGGCAACGGTATCAAACTTCAAAGATGGGAATTGTTTACGCGGAATGCCGTTCTTGACGTGATTTTTTTTACGAACGCTAATCCAAATCACTACTGGCAGAAGGCGGAGCCGAATTTGCAGCTCGATGATATCTGCAGACACGTTGATTTCGGCGACGCAAATTGTCCTTCTGTTCTGATATACATATCCACTTCAGTTCCTAAAAATAAGGCTTCTTTTATTTTTTCAGAAAGTATTGTGTGAACCCGACCCAAAGACCCCGAGACGGGTCTTCGTAGGTTATCTTGCTGAAGCCGACAGAAGTCGGTTCAGCGTTCAAAGTAGCCTTGGTGTAGGGTTGGACACGGGTATAAATATCCCTCCGGCTATAGCTAGTCATGTGCTAGAT